AACGTGGATGATAGGCAGCAGCTCCAGGCAAGCAAGTACTCCCGCTCTGCTGGAACAGCCCAGTGTCTTCTAACAGCCCCATCTTCTCCCTCGACCAGGCTTCTGGCAAGAGGCAACAGTCCAGTCTAGAGCATCAGCATCATCTCCCTGCCTACAGCCAACGCAGATCTTCCTTGGAGAGAGGCTCTGGCACCGGTCCTGGCAAGATAAGCTCCTCCAGGTCCCTGTTCTCAAAACAGGTAGATGCCAACAGAGGCAGAGCAGCATGGCAGTCCCGCAGACACAGCCAAGCACTGCTGTGAAGCGAGCGAGCACCCTCTCAGCGCAGGACGCCTCGTCTTCCCGCGCCGGGTTTGATTACATCAGCACGAGAGGATGCGGCCTCTGTGCCAAGGGAAGCAGAGGAGAGATCAAACGATTATACAAACCTCTCCTCAATTACCAACCCTTTGCATAAGCAGAGGAGAACGTTCCCAACCGGTTTGGACAGCATGCCGACGTGCTCCGCAGTACCTCTGCCCCACGCCACGCCGCTGCCCGCAGCCCGGCCGGGGGCCGTTGCAGAGGGATCCTCGCTGCCATCCCCCCCCTGCACGCTCAAAGCCGCTGCTTGTAGCATCCCACCATGGCACGGAGTGCCTCGCGGGCATGGCACGGAGCGAAGCCTCCATCCACTTGGCTCAAACCTACAACCCGCTTCACCTCACACCGCCGGTGGAGGGTCATGGCTGGGCAGGGGCTGCTGTCACCAGTACGCCCCGATATTGGTTTTTTTTTTTTTTTTTTTTAATTGCTGCATACAACCCAGCAAGAGCCCAGCTTGACTCATAAGGCCCTGGGGAAGAGCTCAGGGCTCTGAAGCGGTGCCTTGCTTGATCTGGAAGTGCTGAGACAAAAAGCCTGGACTCCCACAATACCCGCTCTCAGCGAGTGACTACTCAAGGGGACCTGCCCATTAATTGGAGCCTCTCTGCGTGCTGCAGAGAAGGAAATCCCTTTGGCAAACGCTGGCTGAGGTCCAAGGCTGGGCTGGAAGGCAGATTTGGTCATGAAAAGAAAATGAACAAGGAGCTGGGTGAAACACCCGCAGCCCCAGCTCTATGGGAATAAGATGCATCTCAGGGA